CAAAGTGACTACCAGGGACCCTACCACACCGCCCATCCAGCCCTGTGGGGTCACGTGGTCCGCGTCACGTGATGACGCCTGCACGTGACCTGACGAGCAGCCTGTGAAACGGAGCTGCGAGTTTACAGCTCCTGAGTTGTTGGGAAGAGTGTCCAGAGAAGGGATGCTTTGGCAGCCAGCTCCAGGAGTGCGGAAGACATGGGTGGTACCAGTGGGGGTCCACTCTGAGGAATCCCGTGGCCTACCAAATGGGAGGCAGAAAGGCCAAAAGGCGGGCAGAGGGCGACTTCCCTGCTGCGTAATGGCTTTGCTGAAAAATGCAAATGGTGTGTGGCTGGCCCGAAAACTCAGTGACCATCAAATGTCATACACCTGCCAATCGGCTTGGTTTCAATTCACAGTGTGGATCCGCCTAAAATTCTTTACCCTCAGGTCATATTCAAGGCCACTTTCCACACTGCCGCAGACCGGGAAAATAAGGGAAGGTAGAAATCTGAAACTCTTCTGGCTACCCACTAGCACTTTAGGTGAATACAGACTCCCCTTTCTGAGTTGTTCTTGTCCAGGCGGACTTTTAGAAATAACCCCATATCTTTCCTTTTTGTGTGCTCATGGACAAGTTACTTAGCTTCTCTGAGCTTTCCTCATATATGAAAGAAGATACTATCTTGCCAGAAGTGATATGTGTAAAATACATAGTATATGTGGTATATGGTGAGTTACTCTAGATCTTATCAGTCCCCCTGTGCAGCATATTTTTCCTTTTAGATTTTGCTTTGTAGTCACCTCTGTCGGCACCTCATGAAAGATCTCTCTTTGGTATAAAACTAAGGTTCGGATAAAAATTTATGCAAGAATGTCCACTATGGTGTTAATCCATAATACTCAAGAAAGCAAAGTAACCTAAATGCCCATCAGGTAATGGATGGACGAACAAAATGTGGAACCACCCAATGGCCATTGTTCACTAAAGAGGAATGAAGTGCTGGCATCTGTTAGGACATGAGTTGACCTAGAAAATACATTAATTGAAAAGAGCCAGTCACATGTGATCATAGATTCTATAATTCCATTTATATGAAATATCCTGAATGTATCAATCCAGAGAGAAGAAGTAGGTTGGGGGTTTCCAGGGGTTAAGGGGAGACAGGAAATGAGAGCTAACTGCTAATGGGTATGGGGTTCCTTTTTGAGGTAATGAAAAATGATAGACTGTGGTGATGGTGTTAAACTCTGAATATGTTAAAGATTCTTGAAAATTGTATTGTAAAGGGAGTAACTTTATTATGTAAATTATATCCCAATAAAGCTACTCTGAAGTAGGAAGTGGAAAAGAGGGTGAGGGTTAGGGTTACTATTAAAGTTAGGATTAAGGTGTCTCCCTAGCATCATCTGCAGTGAGCTACTAAAGCTAGAGTAAAGGCTATGGTTACATTAGCATTAGTGTGATGATTACACTGTCATTGTTAGGGATAGCATTAAGACTAGGCTTGGGGCTAGGGCTAGTATTAGAGTGCTGCTTGGGTTAGGGTTGAGATTAGGGTTAGGGTCAGGTTACTGCAGTACTCTTCATATTAGCTTTAGGGTTACAGATTAAGCAAGTATTACAGATAGGCATTATACTTAGGGTTACAACCTAATATTATGGTGAGGATTGGAGCTAGTGTTAAGTTTACAATTAGGGTTAGGTTTGGTGTTAGGGTTAAGACTAGCATTAGTGTTACCATTAGTAATTGTCTTAATTGGGGATTCTATTGCTGCGAATAGACACCCTGACCACTTTTATGAAGGAAAACATTAAATTGGGACTGGCTTGCAGTTTCATGGGTTCAGTCCATTGCTGTCATGATGGGAAGCATGGTGGCACTCAGGCAGATATGGTGCTGGAGAAGGAGGTGAGAGTCCTAAATCTGTATCCACAGGCAGCAGGAGATGACAATGACACAGTGGCTGAGTTTCTGAGACCTCAAAGCCCACTACCTAGTGACACATCTCCTCCAACAAAGCCACTGAGAAGCCCTAGACTTCTATTGCTTCTATTTTTTCTATGCTTCTGGCCAACAGCATTATAATTAATATAGTGTCTCGTGTGTTATTTGGGGGCTCTGAGGCAGCTGCAGAACTGGGCAGGAACATTGTAACACTTAAGATTTTCTTTGGTGTATGAATCTATTTTTCTTAGTGTATCTTCAATGCCTGAGATTCTCTCTTCTATATCTTGTATTCTGTTGGCTATGCTTGCATCTGCAGTTCCTGATCGTTTACCCAGCTTTTCTATTTCCAGCATACCCTCAATCAGTGGTTTGTTTCTTTTTTTAATTGTCTCTATTCAAGCTTCTAAGCCTTGAACTGTTTGAATTATTTCCTTCACTTGTTTGGTTGTTTTTTCTTGGCTCTCCTTGTTTTCTTTAAGAGATTTGTTTATTTCTTGCATTTGGGGGGGTTGTCTTTTCCTCAGTTTCTTGAATGTTTTTGTTTTTTCTTCCATTTCTTCAAGGGATTTTCTCATTTACTCTTTAAGGATCTCTATCATCTCCATAAAGTTGTTTTTAAGGTAATTCTCTTCTGCTTCATCTGTGTTGGGATGCTCAGGTCTTGTTGGTGTTGAGTCTCTGGACTCTGGTGGCATCATATTAGTCTTTCTGTTGTTGAATGTGTTCTTATATTGTCGTCTTCCCATCCCTTCTTCCAGTTGGTGCTGGTGGGGTCTCTCCATGTCCTGGTGGGTGCAAGCAGGTCCAATACTCTGATAGCTCTCCTCTTCCAGTGGGTGGAGGCGGGACTGGCACCAAGATGTAGGCAGACTCTGGATGGCTTGGTCCACTGGGACAGGTTCACCCATGAACAGTCCCTGGGCCAGGAGAGTCCGAGAAGCATGACCAAACATGTAAACACCTAAGTCTATGGGGACCATTTCCATTCAAACCATCATAGTAATATTGTTGGTTTTAGGGTTAAGGTAAGTGTCTTAGTTACTTTTATGTTGTTATGATAAAAATTATCTCAAAGGCAACTGATAAAGGGAAAGGTTATGGTTAGGACTTAGTGATATGGTTAATGCTAAGATAGTTGTAAGTTAGGGTTAGGGTTAGGGTTTGATTAGTATTAGGGTGAGTGCTACGGATGGTGGTTTAATTAGGATTAGACTTAGGGTATGGCTTAGGATTTATTATACGAGCCAAGTGTGGTGGCACGCTCATTTAATTCCAGCACTTGGGAGGCAGAGGCAAGGGAGGCAGATCTCTGAGTTCAAGGCCAGCCTGGTCTACAGAGCCAGTTCCAGGACAGCAAGGACTACACAGAGAAACCTTGTATTAAAAACAAACAAACAAACAAAATACAGTTGGATGTGGCCACACTCCTTTAGTCCTAATACTTGAGAAGCAGAGGTAGACAGGTTATGTCTGAGTTTGAGGTTTAACTTCTCTAAATAGTGAGTTCCAGTCAAAGTCAGGGCTACATAATGATATGCTGTCTCAAAAAAGTTGTTGTTAGGGCTAAGATCATGGTTAGGTTCAGGGTTAAGGCTCAGTATTAGGTTAATAAGTAGGGGTTAGGACTAGAGTCTAGGGTTACAGTTATGATTAGATACAGTGGTAACTTTTAAACATAATCCTAAACCCTAAATATAATGCTAAGCCTAACCATAAGCCCTAACCAGAACCCTTAATACTAACCCTAACTCTATCCCTAGCCATCAGACCTAATTCTAACCCAACCCCAATCCTAGCCCTATTGCTAAATCTAATCTTAGCCTTAACTATTACCCTAAATCATAGTCATAAATATAACCTAATTCAGATCACTAAACATAAAAGTAACCGTAATCATATTGTTAATCTTAATGCTAACCCTGAACCTAAGGATACACCAAATGGAAACATTAAACCCAAACCAAATGCTAACCCTAATCATACCGTAAGTCTATCTTACTGCCTTAGTTAGGGTTACTATTGCTGGGATGAAATGCCATGACCAAAAGTAACTTGGGGAGGAAAGAATCTGTTTCACTCACAGTTCCATGTAACAGTTCATCATTAAAAACAGTGAGGACAGGAGCTCAAGCAGGGCAGGATCCTGGAGGCAGGAGGCAGAGGCCATGGAGGGGTGCTGCTTACTGGCTTGCTCAGCTTGTTTTCTTATAGAACCCAGAACCACCTCCCCAGGGGTGGCACCACTCAACAATGGGCTGGTCCCTGCCCCAAGGATTACTAGTCCTACAGGCTTGCCTATAGTCCAGTAATATGGAGTCATTTTCTCAATTGAAGCTACCTCCTCCTGATGACTCTAGCTTGTGTCCAGTTGACATAAAACTATCTAGTACACCTACCCTAATCATAATTATTACTCCAACATGAGCTCCAAATCTAACCCTGACATTAATGTTAGACATAATCCTGACCTGAGCCCTAATCATAACCATGAGCCTAATCCTAAACTTATGTGTAACAGCAAGCCTATCCTCACATTATTCATAACCCTAGCAAACCCCTTCCCTTACCGTAATTGGAACACTAACTGTTGGCTTGCGTCCAACCAAATTAAAACCATGATCATGACCTTAATGCTAACCCTAACAATAATGATAAACCTAACCCTTATGGTAACCTAGACCCACAACACTGATGGGGGTAGTCCTTCTGTGTATATGTCTCTATTATTGGTTAATGAATAAAGCACTGGTGGTCAATAGGGAGGCAAAACATGTGGGACTAGGAGTCGAGGAGAATTCTGGGAAATGTAGTAAAGAGAAGTCTTGTGATCCAGGCAGGAAGTGACATAGCAGGCAGACTCAGAATATAAGCCGGGACAAGCAGGAAATCATTCTCTTCCTCTTCCTCTCTTCTCTGTGAAGTCACCATGTGATCGCCAGGAAGACAGGACACACATGGTCGGTGTCCTCCATAAGATAAGTCTTTATAAATATATAGATTAGTAGTTATGGTTGATAATTAAGACTGAACTAGCATACAAGAAATTCTAGTCACTGGCCAGCAGTACTGTGCCTAATATTAATCTCTGTGTGTTATTTTGGGCACCCACGTGGCGGCGGGGCTCTGTTGGCTGGCGGAAAGATTTATTGTTACACAACACAAACCCCATCCTTAACTCTAACTCTAAACCTAATATAACTCTAAACCTAATCCTACATTTTAAAATGATTAGAACCCAAAAATTCAGGGTAAGCATAATTGTGACCCTGATCCTAACACTAACCTACTGTACAAATCCTAATCTTTTTATGCTTTTTTAAAGACAGAGTTTCTCTGTATAACAGTCCCAGCTGTCCTGTAACTCACTTTGTAAACCAGGCTGGCCTCAAACTCACTGAGATTCACCTGCATCTGCCTCCCAAGTGCTGGGATTAAAAGCGTGCACCACAAACACCAACACCAACACCACCCGGCTCACAAATCCTAATCTTGCACCCTAAACCTAAACCTAAACTTAACCTCTAACCCCTTAACAGTAAATTAACCCAAACTCCTCATTCTAATTTCTAACATGTATTCACTAGCTCTCTAGCATATATGTGCAATTTTAAAAATACATGTGTTTCCCAGCTTGTAATAGATAAGTAGATATGTGCAGGTCCACATGTACCTGTATTTCCTAGGTCTATCATAGTACGAATGTGTTCACTGGTTCACATACACACATGCATTTTCTAGTTCTGTCATTGCTCAACCTGTATGCATACATTCACATACATGCAGTTTTAAAGCATGGTCACATGCTGACATGTAAGTGCATGTTCACAAGCAGAGATTATCTTGCATGGCCACATGTCAGTGTGTACAGGCATGTTCTCATCCATGCCCTTTCCAATCCCTGCCATATGTTGGCATATATTTACATGTTCCCACTGCTCTCACAGGACTGCCCTTGTGGCACAAGCTGAGTGTCCTGTCAAGATACGGGACCCAAGATTTCTCTGATGTCTCCTCCAACCCCTTGCTGAACTGGCTGGAGCTCTAGCTAGAGCACTGCTAAGCCTCACCTCTGGGTCTGTAGGTGATGAAGGCTGAGAGGTTACATTTTATCAGAGGGCCAGCATGCCAGACACATGGATTTACCTTCATCTCTTATCTATCTCACTCTCATGGTATCTGTAACAACATCTGTCCTACTTAATGTCTATTCTTCTTTTGAGAACCCGCTCCCTTCTGGAGGTCAACTCTGTTCTGGGAGGTCACAGTAACCCATGCTGGTGGCCACAGTAGACTGGTCTAAGGATGGAGATGGGCTCACAAGGAAACAATTTTAGCCTTTCTGTGAGATTTCTTTGGCTGGATTAAGGAAAGGCAGGACACAGGCCATGCTATGACAAGTCTGGTGTGAGGCTCAGGAATCAGTCATTTTTCCAGTCAGGAGGAGGAAGCTGGTTGGACAGAAGAAAGATAAGAAAAGCAGAGATAAGACAAAATATCCTCAGGTCCAGGTATTTTTGACATCCCCACTATGTTCCATAAATATATCAGTCTTATTTCAGGAATTGCTCTTACTTCATGTCAGCTTGTCTGTTGTGCACTTGTCACTTAAAAACAAAATCAACACACTTGTACCCCTGGTCAATAGCTGTGCCACCTGGGGGCCTACCAGATTACCTCTTAGGAGTGGGTACAAAGGAGGTGGTATAGAGGCTTTATCCTACTGCCTCCAGGTCTTATGGAGGGCAGTGTTCTTAATACTGTAGACAAGGCCATTAGTGTTCTCACCTCCATCTTAACCTGCTAAGCCTTCTGGAACATGGCCATGTCCTCTTCCTTTCTAGTAAGATCAGGTCATGAAACAAAATCTGTAGTTTACTGAATATCATTAGAAAGAAATAAGGAAAGGAAGTCTCACCCAGCTCTGCTTAGAGGTCCTCAGTGGCAGTCAGAGGAAGAGCCAGGGGAAGGTTTGCACCAACATAAAAGGAGTGGTTACATCCTTTTCACCTTTTCATTATCCCAATCCACTTTTGGTGTTGGGGATGGGACCCAGAGCCTTATGTATGTTAAACAAACAATCGACCATAGAGCTATACCCCTGGAGTAAGTGCACAAGCCTAAAGAATATGATTCTGTACACACACTCATCTGCATAACAACTACCAAGATCAACAGACTGGAATATCCCTAGCTCCAGACCCAAGACACCTGCATACTGGCTTCTAATCACTTCACCTCGCTGTTCTGACTAGCCTCTGCCACCAGTGGTTAGTCTCATTGTCCTTGAACTTAAGGTTCAGGATCACACAGCATATGCTCTCTTTTATGTCTGGTTCCTTTCACTCCAAAAAATATATCAGAAAGCTGACTTTTAAAAGAAGATTTATTTTATTTATTTAGACTTATTGTTTAAAGTTCTATGTGCAAGAGTGTTTTTGTTTGTTGTTTTCCTGTATGTGTGTCTGTACGCAGTCCAGAGAGGGAGTAAGATTCTCTGGAACTGGAGTTACTAATGGTTGGAACCTATGATGTTGGTTCTGGGAACCAAACCTGGGTCCTCTACAATAGTTAGTGCTTTTAACTGCTTTTAATCTCTCCAACCTTGGTGGTGACTCTACTGCTGGCCCTGACACTCATGATTCTCTTTTCTTACAACTTATGTGTGGTGCCCACAGATGCGAAAAGTAGATGTCAGATCCCTTGGAACTGGAGTTACAGATGGTTGTGAGCCACCATGTGTGTGCTGGAAACCGAACCCAGTTAAAAGCAGCAGGAGCTCTGAACAGCTAAGCCATCTCTTCAGCCCCAGATACTCGTGCTTTTCATGGAACTCTGTGACAACAGTCCCAATTTCTTCATTTTCTTTTTCCCCTCAGGTATGCTGGATGCATTGTGAAGATATTCACGTAAGCACACAAAATAGTTTTAAGAGTCTGCCCACTGTCCAACAGTGCAAGAACAACAAAGTTTATAAAACAGGGACCACTCCTTTGGGTTTTGCATATATTGGTTTTGTGTTAGTCACTGCAGGTAGATTGAGCAGGTTTTGGTTTTGTGTTTCATTGTTTGGTTTTTTGAGACAGGGTTTCTCTGTGTAGTCCTAGCTGTCCTGGAACTCACTCTGTAAACTAGTATGGCCTTGAACTCAGAGATCCACCTGCCTCTGTCTCCTGAGTGCTGGGATTAAAGCCATGCACACCAACGACCTGGCTTTGTGCTTGTTTTTTAAAGCAAACATTCCAACAGATATGATTCAGGATAGATTAATACTTCCTTTACTGTTATACTTAATTTTAAAAAAATTCCAGGCACTCAATAGAACAAGATTTGCTTTAAGAGCAATCTACAGAGTTAGTTGGAAAATAACCATGTGCTGGAACCTGCTGGGCTACCATGTGTTCTCAACTATGGAGACCTCTTTGCTTCTAAGAGAAGAGATGGAACCAATGGATACCATTTTTGGCCTTCTGTTGGGCTTGGCCATTGTAAATGACATGATGTTATGCATTCGGAGGCTATGTTACATGTACCTTGCTGGGCACACCAGCTCTGGTGGGGGAAAGCACCTCTCTTTGAGAGCACAGCTATCTGGGAAGGGGGAAGAGGAGTTGGGCACATGGCTTTGTTGGTGGGGGAACAGGCCAGTTTGTACAGCATACCAGGAGTGTAGCCTTTTTAGAAGGTAGGATTTGTTCCAAAGTACATTAGAATAGCTGCTGCAGTTGCCTTGGCCTGGGTGGCTAGTGAAGATTGGCCTGAGACAGTTCGGGAGACAGCTTAGATGCAAACTACTAGCTTCCAGTCCCTCTCCCCGACTCCTGTCTCCAAGAATGGCTTAACTACTTCTCATGTGTCAGGCACTCCGATTCCTTTCAGGGTTATTCGTTTTCAGCTTAAAGCTCATCAGTGAGGTCAGGACCACCGTAGGAGATAGCACTGAGGTTGCTCGTCCAAAATATCAGGTGGAGTAGCAGTATTTGCACAGGAAGGCAGGCCATCCATCTCCAGTCTGTGCTAGTACCTAAGGGGCAGGAGTACCTGACATGCATTTTCAGCAATGAAAGCTACATAGGCAGAGTTAAGTCTTTGGAGGCACAAACAAGACAACAACAACAAAAAAAAATGCTAAAAATAAAGATGGGAGGAGCTGGAGAAACGGCTTAGTGGTTTAGAGTGCTGGACGCCCTTCCAGTTATAGGCTTACTCTGCCTATAACTCCAGTTCTGGGGGATCTGCTGCCATCTTCTGGTCTGTAAAGGCATCTGCACAGACACACAATTTCTTTTTCTTCTTCTTCTTCTTCTTCTTCTTCTTCTTCTTCTTCTTCTTCTTCTTCTTCTTCTTCTTCTTCTTCTTCTTTTTCAGGTTCAGCAGTTATTTAAAGTGAATAGAATCATCATTCATTCATTTGATAATTCCCTGAACATCTGCAGAGGGCTAGGGGGTTCAGAATACTTGAGAAGTCCCCAGATTTCTAGAGTTCACCATCCAGAGATGTTTAAGGGGGAAATTGCATGTGTGCTAGGCTTAGAAATGGGAAGTTCAGGATGTCTTGAGAGTACTTTATGAAGAAGCTGATCTGGGCTGTGGGGTCAGCAAAAACTTCCCTGAGGAAATGACATTTAAGCTGAGGCCTCAGGTCATCTGTTAGAGAGAAAGCTGTACTAAGCAAAATGTGTGTGTATGTGTGTGTGTGTGTGTGTGTGTGTGGTGTGGGGCCCTGGGGTGGGAGAGAAAAACTTGCACAATAGGTACAAATTCAGAGTTATTGGCATACAGCAATTTACTTGACTCCATGGAAATACATTTTTCCAACTTTTTTCTTTTGGATTTATGAGTGTTTATGCCTCCATGTATGCACGTGTAACATGCATACAGTGCCCTCAGAGATCAGAAGGTACAGGATCCCTTGGAACTGGAATTACAGATGGTTGTGAGGTAACACATGGGTGTTAGGAGCTAAGCCCAAATCCTCTGCAAAAGCAACAAGTGCTCTTAATCCCTGAGCCGTCTCTGCAGCACCACCCACCCCTAATTTTTATTTTTTATTATTATTGTTGCATATGACTCACAGAGCATGCATGGAGGTAGGTCAGATACAACTTTTGGGAGTTGCTTCTCTCCTTCCATCTTGTTTGAGGCAAGTTCAAACCAATTCTCCTGTCTCCACTTCCTGTCTCACAAGAGCACTAAGATTACAGATGCGTGCTATCGAACCCTGACTGTCACTTGGGTTTTTCAGACTGAACTTGGGTCAACAGGTTTCTGCACTTTCACTCCAAGTCATATTTGTGCACCCACTCTCCACTTGGTTTTGAGATGGGATCTCACTATGTAATCTAGACTAGCCTTGAACACGTAGCAATCCTCCTGCTTCTGCCTTCCCTGTACTGGGACTCTAGGCGAGAACCACCTTACTTGGCTTATCTAAGTACATTATTCAGGAGGGCTTCAATGCTTCTATGCTCCTGTGTGACATGGCCACTGCATGGAACAGTCTTCTTTGGGCCTTTTTTTAGATCTTAAATAGTTTCTACTCAGTTAAAATTTTGTGAGGCTACATTTTTAACCAGTTACTTACACTGGCAAGTTAAGTACATACTGACAAACACAGGAGGATCTGGAAACGTAAGACATTAATGCATCCTACTTATGGAGATAAATTTTTCTGGGGAAAAAAAAAACAACTTATGGAGTAAAAGCTTATTTTAGGTCACAATTCCAGGTTTACAGCCCACCACTGTGGAGATGTCATAGCAGCATAAGTCTGAGACAGCTGGTCACATTCCCATTCAAAAGCAGAGGGACAATGAATGCAGGCATGCATGCATTTAGTGCTTGGCTCTCCTGCTCCACTTTTACAGAGTCCAGGGTTCAGCTCATAAAAAAGTGCTGCCCGTTTTCAGGGTGGGTCTTCTCGATTCAATTCATGCAGTTAAGAAAACCTCTCACAGGCACGCCCATAGGCTAACCTGATCCCAGTTGAGCTTGTCTTTCCAGGTGATTCTAGATTCTGTCAAGTTGATAATTAAAACCAACCAGCACTGGGGCTAGAAAAATGGTTCACAAGTTAAGAGTGATTGCTGATTTTCCAGAAGACACAAGTTCAGTTCTTTACACCCATACTGGACAGCTCCCAATTGCATGTAGCTACAGGGGATCCAACATCTTCGTCTGGCCTCCACAGGCACTGTACACATGCATTATATACAGATACACAGAAACAGATAGACAGACACGCTCACCCATATACATGCACCATACACACAGACACACAGACACATGCATGTGTACACATGCATACACAAAATATGGGGTAGTCCATGACATAAGCCATTGGATACTCCTAATCAATCAAATCCTGGAATTAGGTGAATGGCCATATAACTCTTCTTAGACCATTACTGTGAAACAAAGGCACATACAGGAAGTTAAGGCCTACCAGGGCGAGGGGAGCCAACCTGGAGTCTGCCTGGCACCATCAGAGGTCCTGATTGTGCCTAGCCAATGAGGGGCAACTACACATTGTCAATTGATCAGATTGCCTGGGTGCTGGGAGGGTATAGAAGTTTCTACCCATTGCTAAATAAATGAGTCTGCTGTTTCTCCTTTCATCTGACTCCCAAGGTTTGTTTTGTTGACTCTGCACCTTATCATCCCCTCCCCTGAGGGAGCTGTTAGGACCCAGCAACAGACACAGAGTGGCTTTGGCAAGTTGCTAATTGCACTGCCATTATAGATTGAAAGTCCAAGTTAAGCTATTCTTAGATGACTAGAAACTCTGAGATCTGTCCTGAAAGAAATATTCACAGCCAAAATTTCTGCAAAAACCAACTAGAGCTTCAGTTGTAAGAGGGGCTGATGGAAATGTTTAGAGCTATTGGCAGGCCCATGACAGAAACTGAAATGCAGACCCTTTGAATCTGGGAGCAAAGCCCTTTCTTCTCTGTAGATAAGCCCACTCTTCTCGAGATAACCTAGGCTTGCTGAGCATTGGTGGACACTGAATACTGAACCACAGAACAACTAATTACAATGTTCCTTGAGCATAAATCAGTGTTACCTAATCCAGTAACAAAATTGTACACACTTAAATTGGCCTGGAAGGTTGTGACAGTTTGGAAGAAAATGGGCCCCCAAAGGGAGTGGCACTAATTAGGAGATATGGTCTTGTTGAAGGAAATGTGTCACTGTTGGGGGTGGGCTTTGAGGTCTTTTTCTCAAGCTTCACTCAGTGTGACAGTTAGTCAAATTCCTGTTGCCACTGAGTCAAGGTGTCTCTCAGCTCCACCTGTCTGCATGCCACACTGATGATGGACTGAATGTCTAAAACTGTAAGCGAGGCCCCTCAATTGAATGTTTTCGTTTATAAGAACTGCCATTTCATGAAACTTATTTCAGGGCAGAGACAAAAGGGTTATTTGTTGGTGCGTAATCATTTTGACTAGGAAGTAATATAATTGGTAATATGCACAATTAGATTAAAATGTTTGGCAAAATAAAAGAGTTGCTGTGGTGTAAACAGATGTCTCTCTCTTGCCCAGCAGTTCCCAAATAACCACTTAATGTTACTTATAAAACCTCGGCTTGTTACTAGCTGATTCTTACACTTAAATTAACTCATATTCCTTATTATGTTCTGCCACATGGTGTTACCTTGCCTCAGTAGGGCGTGACCTTCTTGCTCTCTCTGTGTTGGGCTGGCAACTCTTCCAACTCTGCCCTTCCTCCCAAAATTCTGTGTGTCAGGCTGTATTGCCCAATCTCTTCCTACCCAGCTATCGGCCCATTAGTTTTTTATTGACAATGAGAGTAATGCCCATTTACAGTGTACAAAGATTGTTCCACAGCACCATGGTCATGGTGTCACTTCATAGCAATAAAAACCCAAGACAAAGGTGTAAGTTGTATGAAGAAATGGCTTCTATACCTTGTCTCTAGAAGCCTGTATCTATTTCCTAAGAATTGTTAATTGTGGAAGAGAACACTAAGTCTGGGTCTAATGCCTAGTGTACAATAGTTCTGAATCACGTGCAAGAACCAGATGAAGATACACAACTGCTTAAGCTGGTCCCAGGGTTTTAGTTACAATGGGAGACACTGGGTCACTTTTGGCATCTCAATAGGCAAAGAAGTTCTGTAGAGGATGCAATGACTAATCCTTATTATTTAGGGGAACACAAAGTTGCTATGACATAGTAGAGACATATGTCTGAGTTAACTTTGTACTGTAGTATTAATGCTTTCATCTTACAGGTATTAAAGGTGGAGGGAGAACATGATCCAAGAACTCTGCACCCTCTTCTGGGGAAAGCATGGCTGTGTTTTCATTGTATTATGTTAAGTGGAAGCATGATTTAGTGTGGTGGTTTAAATGAGAACGGCCCCCATAGGTTCATATGTTTGAATGCTTAGTCATCAGGGAGTGACACTACCTGGGAAGAATAGGAGTAGTTGTGGCCTTGTTGGAGAAGTGTGTCCCTGGGGGTGGGCTTTGAAGCTTCAAGTGTCCAAGCCAGGGCCAGCGGCTCTCTCTTCCTGTGAACTGTGGATCAGGATGTAGAACTCTCAGCTATTTCTCTAGCACCATGTCTGTCTGCGTAGTACCATGCTCCCTGCCTTGACTAAATGGACTAAACCTCTGAAACACTAAGCAAGCCTCAATTAAATGCCTTCTTTTATAAGAATTACCTTGGCCAAGGTGTCTCTTCACAGCAATAGAACACTAAGACACTTGGCTTTTTCTTTATCTGGGTTTCTTCATTAAGTACTGCTGATGAGCTGAGTAAGAGCTGACAAGTGGATCACCAGTCTTTAACTTTAGCCACGCCAATGACATTGTGTATCTTGTGGTTTGAATTTGCAATTCCCTAGATGACTAATGTTATCTTTTTGTCATTAAATGGCCATTTTTTACATCTTGTGAAATACTTACCAAAGCCTTTTGCTTACTGATTTATTGGGTTGTTTGTCTTACTGTTTAGGGCAAAGGAGGTACCTGTAGTTTAGCTCTTACTTTAGCACATGTAAGGCACTGAGGGAGAGAAAAAGCAGTTGTTACATATCCTGGACACCAGACTTTCTTTGGATATATTCTACTTCAGCGTTCATTTCTAATCAATAACTTGCCTTTCTTTTCTTTCTTTTGTTTTTTGTTTTTCAAGACAAGGTCTCTCTATGTAGCCCTGACTATCCTGAAATGCACTCTGTTGACCAGGTTTGCCTTGAACTCACAGAGATCCATCTGCCTCTGCCTCCCGAGTGCTGGGATCAAAGGTGTGCACCTACATGGCACAGCATGCCTTTTTAATTTCTTAATAGTGTTTACAAACTACAAACATTTTGATAAAATTTATCAAATAATGTGAATTATAGTTCATGCCTTTAAAGTAAGCGCCTTTGCCTTTCTCAGGGATACAAATAGTTTTCTAAATTTTCTTCTTTCTTTTCAGTGTTACCTGTTTTATTTAGGTTTATCACACATTTTTTTAAAAAATTAACTTATTCTTTTACAATTTCATACATTTGTTCTTCATTGTCGGATTACTTTTCTTAGTGGCTTCATTCACAGTCCCTTTAAGCTCACCACTCAAACCTGAGTCAATCCTGCCACCTCCTTCCCTGTCAGTCTCCAATCCATCAACACTTATCCATTTTACCCCCCAAACGTTTTTCTCTCTGACCACTCCTCTACCTTGCCTTAACCATCTTGCCAATAGCTTCCTGACTGGCCTCCTTGCCCCACCTCACCCCCCAGGCCACTTTTCACATCCCTGCACAATCGTTTAAAATCAGACAAAATGACCAAGTTACTAGCTTTGCAACCACTGCTGAAGGAAGCTTGGCCTCCTGAAAGTCAGAAACCCCCAAACTGTCCCTATGCTTGCTTACCTACCTCTTTTCACAGGCAGTCTAAGTCACAACTGCACCCCAACCAGAGGTCTCCCAGCTCCCCTTCTCGCCAAGCTATACCTTCAACCACTGCACTCTTTCCAATTCCAGGACTGGACAGTACTCTATCATCCCCCGCTAAATTTCGCCCATTATGTCTCCACCAGCTCTCAAACTTGGAGGCCAAGGACTCCGTTTATTCCCACTTTGCATTCCCAGCTCCTCCAACACGGAAGAAGCTTCCACATCTGGGTGATGGACGTAAAACTAAGCCAGAGCATCCGGTATAATTAAAGGGATCAGTTTCATCAGTAGTGATAGCTGACGAAAAGGCAGCCCGCTAGGTGGAAGGCTCTGGGAGTCAAAGAGAACATTTGTGCGACTACGGACGTGGGACCCAGAAATTAGCCTTTGTCTGCACCAATCAGGGGCTGAGGATACAAAGCGCTCAGCGGCCGAAGAGCCGAGCAACTGAGGAGCCCAAGGGCCGAGGGGTTGAGCGGCTAAGGATAAAATGAGCCAAGGCTACAACAAGCGGAAGGGCCGAAGAGCGGAGACGTGGAAGCGCTCGGGTTTCCCAACTCCAGGAAGCGAAAGGGAGAACTCACCTGGAGGCGGCCGCGCCACCTGCAGAGCCTCAGCCTATTTGGC